CGCTGATCGGCCCAAGATAAGAATAAGGTAAATGCTGAGAAGTTTGGACAGGGGCAACAAGGATATGGCTAATTAATTACTTGTACGCTCATAACATTCTTGATACCATGTTTACGTAATCCTGTCTTGGGTAAATTTTGTATGGCATTTTGGAAGAACTTCTCTGAAAGACCAGAATCCTTTGCACGTGGGACCAATAAATGTAAATTTAGTATTTGTTTTTAAATGGTATACGTTCGTAAGTTACCTACGTGAAAAAGAAATGATTTCTCGTATGTTTAGTATTGTAAAATAAGCCTTTTTTAACGGTTTAAAACGTGATATTTAAATTATCAACACTTTATTTTATTTAGATGCTTTGCAGTCAAGGTGTCATCGTCCCCCCCCCCCCCCTTGAGCAGCTGCGCGTCTCGGAGGGAAATTTTATTATGTAATGTTGGGTATGTAGTTGATATGTATATCTTTGTAGTTAACCCATGTATATGTATTTGTTCAAGATGTTTATATATTTTCTTCTGAAACACACAAGACTATGGAATATCAAAAATTCCAAAACCACTTTAATACAAAGATTTCCCAAGGCAAAATCGGTCGATCAGCGCATCTTGTTTAGATCATATATGCACGGAGAGAACATCTTTATCTGTCCTCCTCTATTGTAAAAAGAAGCCTCCTGTTTGCTTTAATCACCATAGAAGCAAAGTAGTAATAAAAGCTATGTATAACAAAATAACTATCTCTTTTATGGGTCAGCACAAGAAGCGTTGTTTGCATTTTCCAGTAATTGATTGTCAATTGATGACAGAGCAGGGACGGAATATTATCTATTCATCGGAAGACCCTTTGCCCTAAATGGGGCCACTCGAGAGAAAATAATATAACGTAGAAATCACAATATGAACATTAACATGAAACCTCTTTTGTTCGATCAAAAGAACTTTTGTATATTAAAAATACCTTCAAAATGTTTTCTTGACAATGGCGTTTAAGATAAATTACCTATTCACAGCGCGTCTGCATTTTCCTTTTTGTTAACGAGGGAAATCGATTCGTTTGTGTCACGTCACTCGGTATGAATGCAACATGGAAATATTAACCATTTTTTGGTAGACGACAGACAAACTTGCGCTCACTTGGTGGAAGGTGAAAGCTTTGGCCTATAATTTGTATTTAAGGTAACCTATCTTAGGAGCTTCTAAAATCCACAGACTATAATCGAAACATAAATTTACATTTCACTGCTTTTCAGCGCTGAGCCTGAAACTTTTAACTAATATGTTATATACCGTTAAAGTGTATTTTTTAAATTACTAAATAATTTACAAACACATTCCCTCCAGTGTCAATCCACTGTAACATCGAAATTCGGCGCTGCAGCAATTCCGTTGTCGCAGCTACAGCTGAGTGATGTTCTTCCTCAGCAAACTATTTGTGTGTGTCTTTCTCGATGTTAATTGTAAGCCGTTTATTATTTTTTAATTATTGTACTTTGGTGTAAATTATTTGAGTTTGGCGTTGCACTTATTGTAAATCGAACCAACACACACTTAGGTTATTATACATCGTTGAACTAACGATTTATGTAGTTCAGTACTATTAGCGTAGTTTTAGGGTTTTAGCGTCCATTTAATAGACGCAGCGAGAATAATGAACTGACACGGGCCACATCCATAAAATCCGATTTTATCATACCGTGGGGAGGGACACGTTTTCGAATATCGTAATAAAAAAGTCACAGATGTCAAATTTATGACGTTGACCATTGTAAAGAGATTAAAAGATTTACGAACGGGGCGGTTACAGCGTAGCGATCGCTCCGTATTACATTCCACACCGAACCAATTTACAAGTTTTATTTTTGTAATCCTCTTTAGGCCTGCGATACTATGTTGATTGATATTCTATTGACTTACTACGCCATATAACTCCAGACTTACCTGAAAAGACAAAATGACCATTAGTTTGCATAATTAAACTATTGCCTTGCAATAATTGAAAGTGTCAATTGGTTAGAGCAGCAGCACGGAAGGCTGTGGTTGTCGGGTCAAGTTCACATGAGTGTAATTTATTAAATCAAAAATCGAGTTTTAAGTTATATAATGCCATCATGTGCAAATCATACAAGTTCTCAAATACTGATAATCGTATATATATGGGAAATACGGTAAACTAAAGTAACAATTTAAACAAATTTAACTTATTTATAGTAGTAAGGACGGGTCGTAAGGCCTTAAAAATAAGTTTAATACATTTTGTTTAAAAAAGGAAGTTATTTATATTATTAGTTTAACTTTTATTAGTTAATAATAATAAAATAGCAAGTTCTCGAAGGACGAAAATTTCGATAATGTGATATCCTTAAGGTTATCATAAATATATTTGTCTATTATACGTTATAATGTACTTATTAATATAATCATTAGCTATAGCTAGCAAGCTCTAGTATAATCTGTATCGCAAAGACGCTATATGCCTTGAAAAGGGAGTTTTCGTAACTGCCCAGCCCTAAAGAGACCGTTAACTTGCACAATAAATCAGCGTAAGCACAAACGACGCCAAATAAATAATTTTCTTTATTCATCAAAATTAAAAGCGGTGGACAAAGAGCGATCCTTAATTAAAGCCAGCTTTTCTTCGTGACTTTACAACCTTGGCTTCGATCATGGCGTAAGCTGTTCTTTTCATTATTTTAAAGATTACGGGAATCCATCACGTCACTTTTATAGATTAATGGGATCGTTTGAGACCTAAATTGTTAGCCTACTCTCTAGATGAACATTCGCAAATTTTTATCATACTTTACTTAACACATGACATCAAAATATAAGTTTCGGATACTAAAGACTTCTTTAAGGCTAGGTTATCTTTAAGATCAATAATTCACTTAGTAAACAACTGAAGGGATGACATTGAGTGTAATGTATTAAGAAATATGACAAGGTTTATTTGAAAAGCATCTAGAACATTAAAATATTAGGCGCAGTACTAATTATTAAATTTAAAATCTCCAAAACTAGGTGTAGATTAAATTTAACGTGACCTATTTAAGCTTTTAAAAAGCTCAGGCTTTAAAAATTCCACCGCGACGTATGTAAGGCCAAAATGAAGTACAGTTTATGCGAAGCAGTTTAATTACAGTAAACACAAAAACCAAACCAACAGGGCTAACAATGAGCTGGTGAAAATGTAGAATGAGGTGGAGCAGTTGATTTTTGTACTGAATTTACTTTTGATTCATTTCCCGCCATTTATTAACCACAAACATCGCTATTGTTCGGAGGCATTTGTTTCAATTGTGATTTTTGTTTGTCGCACGTGTGTAATTTGTAGAATAACAATGTTTGTCGAAACGGCATAACTGAATATTGTTTACATTTTTTAATTAACGTCATTGTAATGTAACTGTTATACAATGTCGTGAAATACAATAATATAACCATTTATTTATATTGTTTTATCGGTGGGACATTTACACAACTGTTGAGGAGTAGGTTGAACTGGGATGCGACTGGAATTAGTGGTATTTTTTGATTAATTAATTACGTCATGTTTAACTGGCCAATTATTAAATATATAATAAGTATAGTATTCGTAAACTTAGAGATTTATTTTAATAATTATGATAGAAACTGCACGTAAAATTTTATAAATACATTTACGTCTTTAAAAGATAGTTCTTAATATGACAATGTTTGTGTAAGAGCAAGCTCGTCGCCTATTGGCATTTTGGGCATGCGTTGTATATAGAAGAAACCAAATGACAATGAAAGTTAATTTATAAAAAAAATTAAAGAAATTATAATAACGTTTGTAAATGTATTTACACACCACTTATTACTTCAAAGTGCTGGTAACACACAGTTTTCGATGTGTTCCATATAAAAGCATCCCATTTAGAGATTGGATTCGCCAAAAATCCAACACCAAAATTTCTTAGCGGATGCGCACGTCGAATCAACAATCTTTGTGCCAAATTTCGACAATCCGTTCAGCGGTTTGAGCTTCACATTGACAGATCAGATTGTCAATCAGTAAAGCTTTTGCTTTTATATAAATTTTGATTGTATGATGTAATTTTGATCATATGTCAAAAATGAAAATAAAAGCCCCTTAAAGGGGCAATGTACATCTCTGTCAGATGTTATGATCTTTCTACAGTCCAATTAGATAGATCTTTATTAAACATTATTTAAAAAATCTAGTAATCGTAAAATCTAATATCTAATAGTAATAATTTAGTAATCCTATAAAGAGTAGTTATAGTCCGAATAAAGCATTATAACTATTTACTTATTTTCTTCTTAATAAAATTAAATTATTTCCTCAATATTTGAACTCAGGATAAACGCAATGCTCTTAACCACTGAGCTACAGACACGTTTTTTTAAAACAGTAACGCCACTTAAATGGTTCCAATCCTCATTCTTTTATCCTCGTATCATTCACTACAAAGTAAAAAAATCCCATTTGCGGTTAGTTTTCACGAATTGATTTCTCCCTCGATTATCGCCCCCAAACAAATGACGTGTGTCGATAAAATATAACTCACGTCGCGTCGGTTGCACGATTGTTTCGCGAATTTCAATCGACTATTTATTTGAACGTATTTTTGCGATATTTTTTAACAAAACAAGTGCAACAGTAGTGCGTTTAAACGTAAAACAGACTTTTGAACTTAAAAGTAACATACGAAAGTTTCTATCACAGTGATATCTTTATTGTTGACATTTGCGTTCGATTTTTGAAATATTTTAAATTTGGTATCCACCCGAATATAGTATATTCTATTAGACTTAATTATACAATAACACAGCATGAATGTGTGAACAGCAAAAGGTTTAATTTATAAAGGGTGTTCTGTTCAAGTGCACGAGTTTTCAATTACACAAAGTGATGGCCGCGGGGCTCGTGGCTGTACCGCGAAAAACGCTCGTGTGGTCAAGCTTCTGACCGATTGCACCTCGCTCACTCAAAAGAACAGTCAAATGAAAAAGAACACAATGACCAACGAAATAGGGCTCGCTTCGCCACTGATAAATGATAAAGCTGCGCCACTCTTGGAAAATGCTGAAGAAAACTCGATCGTTTTTCCAAGGAAAACTCTCAGTGGTATATTGCGTTATTACCTGGACGAGTTCGCCGCGCCGGGACAACCGCAATTTAGGAATAAAAGAACGATATGTGGCGGCGACAAAAGATTTTATGGAGTTTTCGCAGGAGCCTTATAGAAAGTAGACACCTTCCGCCGGCCTTTCGTAATTTTCTTTGATAGAATACAGCTCTTCTTATTCTCATCCGATTCAATACCGAGAAACACTTTAACCCGTGCTTTGTAGCATTACTAGAGCGGTATAAGATGACAAAAACCAGACGAAATAAAGAACAATTTTATTTTTAGTACGTTGCTTCTGGTTTGCGAATTCCCGAGAGAAAAATAATGTAAGACTTTCAAGCTTATGTTTTTATTCGTAAGTTTAATAGGTGTTTGTAAATCGGACAAGTTTTTTTTTTTAAGTTAGCTGTTAACCTATTTGCTTAATAATTAAGGGGATGTATTAATCTATAAATATGATATAATTTTTGAAAATAAATAAAACATTAATATTAATTCACTAAAGTTACGCAACGTTATTTCTATATTTTAGTTAGTATATACTTAGTCAATGTATTCTCCGTACTCAACTCTATTGACGTTTGTGACCTGAAATGATTATTAAACTTTGTATATTATTTTCCATTTAGGACACCGATAGAAGGTCGGGTGACCAATGTACATTGTCTAACCATTTGACATATTGAAAAAAGTTATAATTTAAATACGTAATTTTATTTTTAATTTATTTTAACAACATAATACATAAATTCCTAAGAAGCTTAGAACAGCACCGGTTTAAGCTGTTCAGCGTAATGATAAACTTATTTAAAAGTCATGAAAGTGTAACATGTATTCCTTCGCAAAAGATCGGCGAATCGTCGCCAAACCTTTACGACAGTCACATAACTCCTTAATACTATTCAATAAAAGCGTTAGAAATCGTCGAAAGATTTGCCCAATAAACGCGCGACAAAAACCGTAACTCAGTCTTGAGGCCTATGAAATAAGAGTGGTAGTCCATAAAATAAAATAATAACCGGTCAATAAAATCTTTCAGCGCGGGGTTCGAGCAAATATGTCAAACGCGGCGAACGATCGAGAAAATAAAAGAAAAGTCTTCGAGGAGGGCGTGAAGTGGTCTTTCTTTAGTGGAAATTTGATCTGTGACAGGTCGAGATCGGGTCTATCAATCGGTGGGTAATTGGAGGGTTTTACTGTCGCCGACCAAATGATATCGCTCATAATATATAATACATTACAGACGGTTTCTCTTTCAAACTTGCGATCTTCGTCCGGAGAATAAAAATACGATTTCTAAAAATACGTATTACTATCTTAATACTCGTAGAACACATTAATAGTTCCGCGAATTTTATTCAACGGTATAAAACGCGAAGTGGGTATGTTAGTTAACTGATGCAAACACTGGGTCGTAACCATCGGATCATAGTCAAAATAAACTATAAGAAAATTAATTAATATATGTCGCGTTTAAACCGTTAAAAGTGTTTTAATAATGTACATTTGCGTTCTCATAGAGAGCAGGTTGATATGAGTATTTCTAAATATTATAATTAATTCAGCAGATTTGAAAAGATTATCTTTTAAAATTGCTAGTCAACTAAAATAGCTCAATCAAATAACTGGTTAATACAAAACATCCGAAACGTCGCGCCACCGTTAAAATAATTTGTAAATAACTAATAATAAATACTTAGAGTTTTAAACCGTTAAATTGCTCTATTAAAAAGTACATCGTAATATCAATTTAAATGCCCGGTTTTAATGAAAACAAATACGAATTAAATGGACCCGTGATACAATTTAACGTATCCATCGGCTAGAAAAACTCAGTAGAGCTATCCAATCGGCGATGCAAGTACTTGTAAAGGCTCTAACGCCGAGCACTAAAATGTAATAGGTAATCGGTATATGTGAGCTCTTGGGAATGGGACACCTTTATATGGAATTACTGGCTCACCCGCGCCTTTTTGCTTTTATACGTTTCACGAGATATTGCTAAAAGCCGCGCCGTTTTGCTATTCTGGTGTTAGTTGGTTTTTTAATACTTGTCCAGCTATTTAAAACTATAAAAAAAAATGTACGATTATTTTTAGCGTTTTGTGTACCACATTTCTTCTAAATCTCTTTCTCTCATATTAAAAAAAATCGTTACAAAAAAAATAGATTTTTCGATTAAAAAAAAAAAATCTTACGACACGGGCGGGTCTTGAATCGGCATCCCAACGTTCCGGCATATGTAAAAGTATTAAGATTTTTAAAAATCTTTACGAAGTAGATATTGAACATTCCTCTAGCTTATGTGAAACATTAAAAAAAAGTTTTAACGGTTTAAAACGCGATATGTATTATTAGTTAATTTACACTAGCTACGTCCCGTCGTTCCGGATGCTTTGCAGCAGATATTGGTCTTGTACGGGTTTGATTATAAAACACATTGGACAACGTCTGAAAATCTGGATATCAAATGGGTGGTAGGAATATAGAAATTCATCCGACAGACTAAAAAAAAGCGTTTATTCAGTCTCGTGGTTTAAGTCAGTGGATTTCATAATGTCCAAAGCCTAAATAGGTCGGCCGCGCGTCTTGTTATTTTTCAAGTCTACTACATATTTGTCTGTAGAAGAAAATCAATAATATAATATAAAAAGACTAAAAACTAGAGTATTTTTAATATAAGTATTTAAATAAAACACTTTAAGCGGTATAAATGCTGAGTTATTAATTTAACAGTTAACAGTTAAAAGTGATTTATAAATGTGAACTAATCGTGAAGTACAGACAATACTTAAATACAACACTATTTCAATACTCAGTACAATAGACACAGCAGGGGATAAGCTTTCGTTCACCGCATATTAGGTTATATCAATGACGGTAGATTTACATTACAAATCCGACTTTTCCAACCAATGTATGCTGCACAACAATTGAGCCGGGAAATTGCCGACTTGGTCCGATACGCGCAATAACCTCCGACTTCTCATTATGCAGATTGCCCCTCGATTCACATATGCATTCACTAAACATCTTGGAATGCTCGACGAGCTATTCCGAGACTACAGGAGGAGTCTTTAGCTGGTCCGTGCACACCATTGAACCAAACAATCGATAGAATCGTGTAATGGTTTAGCTAATTTATCGTACAGCTTACATATGCAATAAATAAACACTTGCTTTGTCTCGACAATATACTATCTTAAGAGATGAATATCACAGAAGCTTAAACGAATATTAGATATTTCACTTTTCATTTTCTTAATTCACCACACCACAATACAAATTACGTTCGTAAAATCAGTAGATTCTCGCCGTGTGCACCAAATTAAACATTTGATACACGCGTTCTTCTAGCTTAAACCTTCTACAATTTTTAACTAACATAATATATAGGTAGATCTATATATAGCAGGGTACATCTTCAATAACTCAATAAGAAGTAAATTAATAATTGATATTAGGTTAAAAAACAGGACTCGAACCGGCATACACAGCGTTCCGTGCTGTTGCTCTAACCAATTGAGCTACCGTGTCAATTATATATAAGGCCTTCGTGTGAAAAATATTAAAGATTCCAAATAAAAAAAAATAAAAGCCTCAAAACAATTTGTTCGAGTTCAAAGGCTTTAACGCGCAATAAATTTCGCTTTTAATCGAAGCATCTTAACGTCGAAGACAAGCGGTTCCATAAAATGCATACTCCACCGTAATAAATGTATAGCGGCTAGATAATCTGCATAATTGGAACTCATCCTGGGTTATTACATCCACGTGAGGTTGGGCAATTTTCCGCGTCATTTCCTCTGCCTGAGCGGCCAGGGACCGATGCGCGTGCTTCTTTACGCTTAATTAATGGAAATGTGTAACTCTGTAAATACGGGGAAATTGAAAAGCAATTCGAATGATTGATATTTAAATACCAGGTAAATGCATGCAGACGGAAACGGGCCGCTGATAGACGCGGCGCACGGTGATTCGGTCATTTGCGAATGGATGTAAGAATAATTGTATCAGTTGGCGCGTTGTAACGAACGTCGTTCGCCTAACAATGACGATTCAGAAGTTCTCGTAAAGCGCAACTGTAATTTGCCTTATATTGCAATGATAAATTATCATATATTGTTTTTAATATAGAAAGAATATATAGATTTCCTCCTGGGGTTTACGCGAGTAGTACAGATTTAAATAAAACACTTTAACGGTTTAAAACGCGATATATTAGTTAAACTTATTTGGAAATGATCTTTAACTTCGGCCCGACGTTTCGGATGCTTTGCAGCAGCCGTGGTCACGGGGAGACTCTCAAATAGAAATAAAACGCTTTTAACGGTTTAAATTTCGTATAATATAATAATGAACCTTACGTTTCAGTTGCTTTACAGCAGCCTTGGTTACGGGAGGACTGAAGATAGAGGGTATCTTTAATGTCAAAGTAACAGTTGCTACGCTAGCGTGATCTGTTTCATAGTAGACCGTAATTACAAAACGATATATAAGGTTTTAGTTTAAAATTGTAATTATTTGCAAGGCTTCATTAAATGGAGATAAACCGTAATGTTTTTATTTAAATAAAGAACGTTATTAAGTAAAATCAAATAGGAAAAACTGTCAAAACCTCCATCCTATATTAGACAAAGTATAATAAATGTCCATCAAAAGGTATTAAATCCGATATTATATAGCTCTGAATATTGTGCGTATCTCAAAATACTACGTCAATCAAACCGAGCGTTGATATTAGAATAAGAATCTATTTATTGGTTTTCTCCTGTCAAAACATCACAAAACTTCCTGTTCATAATTACATTTTGTTATTGTTACCGAAATTCCGGTAACAAGACAATGCCAATGAAATTAACGTTGTAATATTATTGTGCTCTTCTAAATTGCGAGATTTCAGTAACTGTCTTAACGAGGGATTTTAATTATTTACTTTAGTTATTCAGGTGTTTATGTTAACTTATTTGAGTCGTTATCGTGCAACGAATAAGGTAGTTTATGTTACTCTACAAGCGTGTAAAACCATTATACCTATAACAACGAAATTAGTCCCTTACGGCGTTTGATGAATACAGGAGAGTAAAGAAAAATATCATAAATATATTATGACAT